ACCCTGTCGACTCCTATTGATCCGCATAGGAGGATCAGGTTCAAACTGAGATTCACTTATTGGCACGCGCAACATCTCTAGACGTCACGTGTGTACTAATAGCACGCTCGTCGGGGCCCATACAGGTTATGATTGTATTTACCCCTTTAGTATACCTATGTGTATACAGTCTATGGTGCACGTGCAAGGGTATTTATTTCAGACTTTGTTGACGCCTTCTGTCTGCTTGTACGAGGTTTGCAGATCCTATGGCATTCGTTGTAGATTGTAGACGGCTTCTGTCTGCTTGTATAAATGTTGCAAATCCGGTGGTGGGATTATCTGGGTGTCATGAGGCATCTCATCATCTTGATGTTGACTCCCTTTTTCTCATTCACCGGGGAGGTCCTTCTTGAAATCTGTGGCCACTGCTTTGAAAGTGACTCCTTTTAAGATCTTTAGTGAATAGACTTGGGTGTTTGTGGATACCAGAACTGTCTTCTTCTTAAGTATAGAACTAAGAAGGAACTTTGAAACTCCATGAAGTTTAGTTCTAATTTGTTCAAACATCCCTGATTTTAGTGCACCTTCAATAGTCTATCATTTCTCTATGATGAACAGAACATTTAAAATTTACTAGTACCCACTACAAATTCTCTTTGACCTTCGCTTCTTCATCTCTCCCGTTGCTAATGTTAGAGTTATGGTTGACTTAAGAAAGAGCTCAAAAAACTCTTAAAGCACAAGCCTTAAAAACAAGGATTTAAGAGATTTTAAAAAAAAAAATTTATAAATTTAATATATATAATAAATTATATTTTGTTATTTGTCTACGCCTAAACTTAAAACAAGCAAAACCAAGAACTAGAAGCATATGAACCTCCTTGATGCTCAGTTACATGTTGTACTCAGAATCGATGTTGCTCGCATAGACAATCGTAATTGAGGATGACAGAGGAGAAAAAATAGCACATCATAATAATGATTTCACTAAAGACACACTAAGTAATGGGAGTGAGGGGAGACTTTTGAATTTAGAATATAATCTTAGTGACTTAAGACTTTTTTTTTTTTCTTTTTTACATATTCGCTTTAGTTGCGCTATAATCTTAGTGACTTAAGGCTTCTTATTTATGTTGAACGGGGAGTGTGAGAGACTTATTGATATGATCTTACTTTAATTTGCTATAATCTTACTTTGACGTTAGTATGTTACTATTTCATTTTTTTTATTGATTTAGTGTTCTAATTCGAGGCTTACACCTCCAACTGCCTCGAAGCTTACATCTCACCTCAGAGATAGAAAATATCTCAGAATTGAATTGGGCCATTTCAAACATTGGTAAAGATTACCTAAAGGGAAAAGAAAAAAGATTAAGGCCAATCAAGGATGGGCCATCTAAAAATCTCAAGAAGATTTGAGATGATGTTTTCCAACTACAAATACTGCCATAAATGTTATATTTAGTGATTAAAGTGGAAAATTTAAAGTGCTTTGAACCATCTATGCTTGATGATAAGTTAGATGAAGTCATACCTCTTATTGATGATTTATTCTTGGAGCAAGAAGTACCTTTTAGAATAGAACAACAAAATGCTATAATACCCACACATCAGATAATGGAGACATTCAACATGGGCATAAAAGGCAAGCTACTAAGTAAAGGCAAAGGATACATCACAAAAGCTTGGCAAATAGTTTTTTTCTCATATAGAGGTTTAATATGGCAGAAGTGAAATCCTCCTAAATAAGGGACGAATGATTTGGGGATCAAATCAAGTAAGGAATTAATTAGATTGCCTATTATTGTAAGTTGGCATCAAATCATAAAATGATTAAAGAGATCATCCGTTGATGTTATATGTCTAATTGTTGCAAGGAAGTTTTTGATAGTGACGATTCTATCACATTATTAAGGCTTCGTTTGGGACAACTTTATTATTGCTTTCTAAAACAGCTTTCTAATACAAAAAAATTTTAGTTCAAAAATTTTTTACTGAAAAATTATTTTAGAAAGCAGTAAGAAAACTGTCACAAATGAAGCCTATGATTGACACATAGAAGAGATTGGATACAAATGAGATCAAGGTTATCAAAGTTGGAATGTTGGATACAATTTCATAATACAACAAAATAAAGATAGATTTGAATTTTTATTTAAATAATTTAGATAAATTTGCACTTTAATTTTCAGTTTAGATAATTCCTGCAAGAGTTATAATTAAATTTGAACTTATATAAGCTCCTTCTAACAAATAGGTTTACTTAGGTGTGGATATGATAATTTTCCTACAATAGCTGTCTATAAATAAGCTTAAATCTTTAGAAGAAATCAATAAAATTATGAATACTTAAAAAAACATTTTTTTTTTACATTTCTTCATTAGTTGTTGGCCCTTAATTTATTTCCATATAACTATTGTTGAACTCTAAAAGGAATCTTGTAGCTATTATTGAAGGGAGGAGGATCCACTATTGCTAGTGAATTCCACTAGGAAGTCATTGTTTTCTGCTTGTCCAATTCTAGTATTGTTGATTTGCCTATGGATCGTTGCATGCTTTATTGTTGGTTATTGTCACTTGTCGTCATTGCACGCTGCAAACCATCCTTTGTTATTGCCTACTGCAGTGGCTTATCATCATTGATCATCACTCATCGATCACTACTGCCTCTACCCACCCAAATCCATCAATGGTCATCGTCATTACCGCTACCCATTGTCGCTTGCCACAGAACATCGCCGACCATCACCGGCCACTACTATTAATCACCCAACACCGCCTGCCATCACAAGCTGTCCTTCAATGTATTTGAAATACATATAGCAAATACAAACAAAAATATGTCAATCCATTTGAATTCCATACAACCAAAGTACCAATCAACGTATGTATTAGTAAATTATAAGCATTTTATTTTTCTTTGCATTTCTAAAATAATGTATTTCAAAACCATCAAATCAAACGACTCCCAATTACGATGAAGTTTCTACAAAACTATCATTTTTATGACTAGTAAAATTGCAAAGGAATACCAACTAATCTTGTTTTCATTGTCCAAAAACAATCAATTTCTTTGCTTTCATAAATTCTAAATATTGGATATTATAATAATATTTTATAAATCAACAAAAGATCAAACATGGAAAACACTTGCACAAATTCCATGCCAAATTGACATGAACCATTAACAAATAACATTTTTATTCCAAAGACACCCAAATAAAAGGGTGATGCCAAGCAAACGCAATAACCCTATAATAAACATGATAATGTCATCTATCACTTTATATCAGTAGATCCAACCAGCAAGCTATAATTAATAAGATAATGAAAAAGTTCTTTGGACTAATGTTCAATGTTCAAAATCTGAACGCATAGATCACACCAAAAATTATAATCAATAAAAGTAAGAAAAACACTTCAACCAAACTTGAAGTTATTTGTGGTTTGAACAGCAACCATTAAACATATAAGAAAGCAAAGAGCTTCATCTTCTAGCTAATACAATAAGCATAAAAAGATGATTTCATTACACATACCCCACAAGCATCACTAATGCATAAATAGAACTAATTGGCATTCTCGTGCTCTTAGAGAAAATGTCAGAACAAACAACAAATCCATATTCCTTAAAACCATAAAAAAGGGTCTCTAAACTTTATTAGTCTCTAGTCGTGATAAAAGAAAAAGGTGTAAACCGATTTTCTAATTGATGAACAAGAAACCAAGTGCAATACAACGAACATTGAACCACTGAATCAAAAAAAAATATCAACATTACGGGCTGTTAGGCATCCTTTTTAAGGCAGGATTTTAACAAGATTTAGCTAAAATCTTAGCAAATAAATTTTGGGGAATCAAAACTCCATGCCAAATTGTCCTTGAACTATTGATAAATAGCATTTTTATTCAAAAGATATACAAATAAAAGGATGCTAAGCAAACTCAATAACCCTACAATCAACATGATAATGTCATCTACCTCTTTCATATCAGTAGATTCAACCAGCAAGTTACAACTAACAAGGTAATGAAAAAGTTTTTTGGACTACTGCTCAATGTTCAAAACCTGAATGCATAGTTCACACAAAAATCTATCATAAACACAAGAAAGAAAAACACTTCAAACAAACTTTAAGATCTTTGCGGCTTGACCAACAACCATTAAACATACAACAAAGCAAGGACCTTCATCTTCTAGTTCGTACAATAAGCATAAAATAATGATTTTATCACCCCTACCCTGCAAGCATCCCTAAGGCACAATACTGGCATAAATAGAACCACTTGGCATTCTCATGCTCTTAGATAAAATGTCAGAACAAAAAACATATTTTTATTCCATAAAACCCTAAAGAAAGATCTCTAAACATTAGTCCCTACTAGTGATAAAAGAAAAAGGTGTTAACCCATTTTCTAAATTATGAACAAGATCAAGTGTAAAACATACGAACTTTGAACCACTGAATCAAACAAATCAATATTCAGGGGCTGTTAAGCATCCTACATTAGGTATGATTTTAGTAAGATTTTGTTTAAATCATTGCAAATAAAATTTTGGAGACTTCAAATTCTAATATTTTATTAAATCTCATGTTAGCATCGTTACTGGTCAAACCAAGGATTTGTGCAACAACGTCAACACCCCAACACGAGGATTCAACGAATTTCTCTCTCTGAAATCTAAAATCCTGAAAAAATAGCCAAATAATTTATCAGGATTTAGCATGGTTCAACAGTTCCCAAATCAAACAGCTTTCAGGTTTTAATCCTCACAAAATTTAATAAATCTGAATTTACAGGATTCACTAAATTTTACTTGTAGCCAACAGGCCCGCCATCGAATTTAGGGCAAAAACAATTTGATCCACTGAATCAAAAAAATCAATATAGAAAGCGTTCGAAATTAAATTAGCTGGCCAAGAACAACGTGATTTCATCTATTAAACAAACAAATTAACAATAAAAATGAGAGAGCCGAAAATAATTTTTTTCGGTAAAATCGAAAAGGAGATACCATCCATGTAGGCGTTTATGGAGATTGATGGTGTACTCCCTTGTTACGACCTCCTCTTTCCGACCTTTGCTCCCCTTCTCCACCATCCTCTCTTCGCAGGCGCTTCGCTCCCTGAAAACAACGATCGGCTGTCGGAGATGAAATCCTCGCCTGTTGAGCGGAAGTTATATTTGTATGGATCCCTACGGTACTGTGGGGAAATTTTATTATTATTATTATTATTATTTTAAGAGCAGATTAGAAGATTGAAGTGTGGGAGCACTGAATTTTTTGAAGAAATTTTGCTATTCTAGAGAGAGAAACTCCCGTAGTTTAGAGAGAAAATTCCTTTTTTTTTTTTTAATTTTAATTTTGCCCCTACTTTTGGGGCATTTATGTTATGGCGGCGGGATGATCGCATAGCCATCTTCTGCTACCACACCAGCTTCTCTTCAATCTCAATTGGAAGCTCAAGTTATGGATGAATTGAAATATTTTCTTTCATTTAGTGATTCAAAAATATCTGCAGTTTTTGAAAATTGAAATAGATTAGTAAAGGAAGTTCCTTTGGTTATTAATGATGGTTCATCAGCTGTTGCTAAGAAGATTGTTCCAGTTGCTGGTAAACGTAAAGATGTACTAGCTGATGCTACTTTTAAAGCCCTCGTTATTCTTGTGGTTTCAAATCCAAGAATAATGCTTTTAATGGAGCTAATGATTCTAAAGCTTCATCTTCCTCTGGAATGAGGATTTTTGTGAATAGATTTGGTAAGATAAATTCATATTCTGTATTGACAGGGGGAATTGTTCATAAAGCTAAAAGTGTTTATGTTGAATCAAATGTTTCTGTTGTTGATCAAATTTTTGATGGAGGAATCAATTTAATGAATTTGAATGTTAAGCATTTTGATGTTCCAGTATCTAGTTATCATAATGTTGCTGAAGAAATTGACTTAATTAATCGTGGTTCTTTTAAGTCTAATGATCCTCTACTTGGTAATTCTATGAAAAGTGATATTCCTAAAGCTTGGACTAAACGACTTGACATAAGAATTGTGAAGTCTGATTTTGATTCAGTGCTTATTGAAGATGGTAAAGTTGTTAAACTTCATGTTCAAAATGAGTTAGACAATAGAGAGAAGCTTCAAAATGCATTAGTAGTTAAAGTATTTGGGAAAAATGTTCATTTTCATCTGATTTGTTCAAAATTACGACATTCGTGGAGTCAATTTGGTCAATTTCACTTAATAATGCTAAGATTAGAATGGATATTGTGAACTTTTCAATCTTTGGATGCTATTGAATCTGTTATATCTTATGGACCTTGGTATGTGAGTGGGCATATTATAGGTCTTGATAAGTGGTCTTCTAATTTTTCACCATCATCTTTGAAGGGATTGACAACTCTTGTCTGGATAAGAATGCCCTATCTCCCATTACAATGTTTGGATGAAGTTGATGCTAGCAGAATTCATATTATGTTAGATAGACAACTTCCATTAGGTATTTGGGTTAATGGTCTTTCGGGGCGTGATGAGAACATATGATCATGGAGAGTTTACCAAAGATGGGGCAGATGATCTATGGCCATGATTGCACCATTTTACTTTTGAGTTTTTATTTATATTAGAATTATTAATATGTTTTATTGAGTTTATTACTCATGATCCTAACTTTTATTGTGTAATTTAGCCTAAGCTTAATTCACTTCTTTCTTGTTTTCAAGATTTGTTTAAAATCACTAAAAGTCAACTAATTATTGTTGTTCTAATTTAAAGGCGTATAATTTCAAATATTGCACTTACCAACGCATTTAACTCTACATCAGGGCGTTTCTTTCATAAAATTGAATATGAAAGGATTTCTATTTTTTTATTTAAGTGTGGAAAAACCAGCCATTATAAAAATAATTGTGCTAACTTACATTCTAAAGTTAAGAAGGTCCCTACAAATGCTATTAAATCTACTGCTGTTGTAAAGGTTGCTGTAAATTCAATTGGTCATGTTAAAGTTGTTGCTGGTGATATAATCAAATCTAATCCTAACATTGCTAGAGTAGATGCTGAAGATTATGTTCCAGTTGACAATGAAAGGAATTTGATGTATGGGCCTTGGATCCATGTTAATTATAGTAGGGAGAAAGTTAAACCTGTTAATATAAGGAGATATCTCTAGAAGAATGTCCTGCTAAATAACAGCTTCATGGTTGTTTCAAGCAATGGAAATAACAAACTGAAAGATGATTTGAATGTTGTTGCTATCAACAATAATTTCAAAATTGAGGGAAAAAAAATAGAATGAAGGAGTGGTTATTTCTACTGTAACAGTTCCTGTAACTTCCATTCCCAAAAGTGAGTTGAAGAAAAATAACTTGATTGATTATTCATTACAATCCTGATATGGATCTAATTCTAGTATGAATTTTCTACCTATGTCATCTTTTAATTCCTGTTGATGTCAACAAGTTTAATGCTTTAAATGGAATTATTGATGATAATGGTGATGATGTAGAACTATTGGAAGTTTCTACTAAAAATGAAGTTGGTGTTGATGATAAAAAGGTTCATTTTAATAATAATGATTTGGATAATTATGTTTTTTGTTGGTTCTAAAGAAGGGGGTTCTTAATTTGTTAAAATGAAACTTAATAATGAACTTAAATCTTTAGGTTAGATTAAGTTTCTTCCTAGAAATAGGAAAATTGATGTGTTGAATAAAGAAAGGATTGGGGGTCCTTCCCCTAAAGAATAATCATGCTTCAATTGCATTTTGGAATTGTAGAGAAGCTTGAAAAAGTCAAGCTTCTCGTTATTTAAAAGAGTTTGTGAATGAGTTTGAAGTATTTTTTGTTGGTTTATTGGAAACTAAATTATCTTCTATTGATTGAACGGGGGTTAATAGGCTCATTCGTTCTTATTGGGGTTTTTTTCATGTTCCCTCTGAGGGTATAGCAGGTGGTGCTCATGTTTTATGGAGATCAATGTGTTTGAATCTTCTTCACAATATGTGATTGCTGAGTTAAAGGTTCTTAATAAAGGTATTTGGATGATTTCTACAGTTTATGGGAATAATGATATTTACAAAAGGAAGGAATTATGGAATAAAATAGAATTTTATTCTTCCAAAGGGTCTCCTTCTATAGTGGGGGGAGGCTTCAATTATATTTTATAAAAAGAGGATAAAAGGGAAGGGAAAAAATAATTACTACCATGAAGTAGGTTTTATGGGACCTAAACTCACATGGTGCAACAACAAGGAAGGAGTGGCTTGTATTTTAGAAAGGTTGGATAGATGTTGTTGAATTCTATTGCTATAAATTCTCTTCATTTTATGGCAGTAAGGCATCTTCCTAGAGTTGTTTTAGATCGTTATCCTATTATTTTGAATCTTTTGAAATCTAATATTCATTACAATAGAATTATTATATTTGAAGATGTTTGTGCTTCATATCAAGCTTCTTTGGCTATTATTTTTAAAACATGGAGGGAAGGTGCTATGGGAATTGATGCTGAAATTCTTAATATACAATTTTAAAAGGTCCTTGAGAGCATTGTACTATTGGAGTAAATCTAAACTCAAAGACCTCATGTAGTTAAAGGATTGTCTTAAAAAGGAAAATTTGGAATTGCTAATGGAGGAGTCTTCTGCAGGTGGTCTTTTAGAATAAAAGCTTTTTTTGATTAAGACCCAAGGTGAATGAGTTGACTATTCCACTTGCTCGGTTGAGCACTTGGTTGAGGCAATGAACAAAAGTTAAATGGATGGAAGAGGGGGATACTAATTCAAAATTTTTTCATTCATTTGCGAGTGCTAGAAGGAATGGGAATTAGATTAATCAAATAAATGATAGCAATGAGTTGTTTTCTTTGTGGGTGGCCTTCTCTAGTGAGTATGTTGAATGGTAATGACAAGCTTTTATTGGAATATGATTTATCAAAGGAAGAAGTTTGTGAGGTGGTTAAGTAACTTAGTAGTGATAAAACTCTGGGTAATGATGGAATTGTTTATTCTTTCATTTAAATATTGAAGTATTATTCAGGGCGATACGTGGAAGGCTCAATTTTTTAATTTGGGAAAAATGTGTGTTGAATGGAAGGAGATTTAATTGTTCTAATTCCTAAAGTCTAAAATCCTTTAAGTCCTTACAATTATAGGCTAATTAGTCTTTGTAAATCCATTTACATGATTATGGCTAAAATTTTATTGAACATATTTAAACTCATTCTTCCAAAACTTATTTTTGATTATCAAGCTGCTTTTGCAAAAGACCGTTCTATATCTGATCATATTTTACTTGCTCAAGAAGTTTTTCACAAGTTCAAATTTTCTAAATCTAGAAAAGGATTATTGGCAATCAAAATTGGCATGGAACAAGCTTATGACAGTATGGTTTGGTCTACATTAAAATAAGTATTGGAATATTTTGGCTTTCCAACAAAATTTTCAAAACTTATTATGGAATGTTTTGAATATCCCAAATTCTCTATTTTGATTAATGGTAATAGTTCCAATCAGATTGAAGCAAGGAGTGGATTTAGATAAGGTTGTCCTAGATTCTCTATTTTGTCATTTCTAATTTTCAAAATATTTAAGATAAGGCTTTGAACAAATTAAATGCTTGAGAAAATAAATTCATTTCTTTAGCTGGCAGGTTTATTCTTATTTAATATGCTATTATTTTTCTTCCACTATTTATATCGACTCATTCATTAGTTCCAAGGGGATTATTAAATGATTTTGATAAGATGGCATGAATTTCATTTGGCATAAGCAAAATGGAAAAAAGGCCTTCATTATATTGCTTGGGATGTTCTCAGTCATTCAAAAATTAGGGGATGTCGTGGTTTCATTCATGTGTAAGCAAATTGGGGTCGTTGAGATCAAAGGTTGCTTGGAACTTTATAAAGAATCCTATTTCCCTTCTTAACAGAAATATGGTTGCTAAATATGGTACATATATTTGGAATTTTTATATAAAGAGAGTTTTTTCTTCTTCATGGAAAATTTTAATTGATGGTGCAAAATCTCTATTTCCAATTATAATATGGAATATTTCTTTAGGTATTTCTATTAATATTTTCAAGGATGTATGGATTCTGGATAGGAGTATTGATAAAAGACCTACATTTGTTGCTCATGTTGATGATACTGAAGTCATAGTTGACAAATTATTGGTGAATGGTGAATGGTGAATGGTGAATGGAATGAGATGGAACTGAAAAAATACTTTTGCGAGCAGCTGGTTTGTCTAATTCGACAAT